GTGAAGGAAAGTTTATTATAAAAACACTTTGGAGACAAAAAAGGACTAGCTTGCTGGTTCGCCAGTTCTTGTGTGTGTATCATAGTAAGGTTAATTTAATAATAATAATATTAAATATAAATAAATAATCGGTGTTAAAATTAAAATAAAATAGATAATGAATATTAATATTTTACTGTAAAAATCTGATTTATGATTTATAATTGATAATAATTACAGTTTACTTGCTTAATCTGGCTGACACCATAAACATCGCTTAGACCATTACTATGTATGTCGTATCCCAGTCGACTTGATGAGTTCTGGTACTGTGCGAACAGTTTCTCTTACTTTCACTCATGGGTTAGAATTAGTCTGTGTCCCCCCCCCCCCGGAAACAGGGCCGAAGATTTCCTGGAGGGAGTAACCTGTTTTAACCACTCACACTACTGTACAGTGGTGTGTTGTCTGTTAGTCATTCAGTAGACACTGAAATGACGTCACATAAGGGACGCTTAACGTTTCAATTTTTACTGTCCTGATGTCAGTAAAACGTGCGCATGCCATGAATTACGAGAAGAATTACTCACTCTATAGGCTACAACACAGCATGACATATGAACTTCAAAAGCAAGAAATAAAAATATTTGTTACTCTTAATTTTGGTGTTATTTACTCTTGAAACAGAACACATTTGGGGACCCTGCGCAAGTACATCTAGTTTAATTATATTTAATGTAACATAACCTGCCATACATGTAGTGTGCATTATTGATGACGAAATATAAAGATCTAAGTTAGATTAGCCAATCAACAAAATCCTTTTAATTCTGATGAAAATGCATACCGAGTTAAAAGATACAAGTTCGAAGATCCACTCACCTGGTAGACAGTAACATGTGAAGGATTCCTCTCCATTTTCACAAACTCCGTGCACACAAGGGTTTGACAAACACTCATTAATTTTTGATTCACAGTTGCGACCAGTAAACCCAGCTGGACAATGACACCAGTAAACTGTTTCATTTTCCCGACAGGTGGCGTTATGCAAACATGGCTGGTGATCACAGAGACTTTTTTTGTCTTCACACGAACTTCCACTATAACCTTTGGAAAAAACGACCGTGATATTTTAAATAAAATACAGCTCAGTTTATTTATAGGTTTCAAATAATTATACAAAGTATTACTTATCACGTTCTATTTAGTATTTCATCGAATTGTGAAATTATGAATCACACTATAAAGTTAGACGTACAGTTTTCTTTTTCATCGAATTGTGAAGTACCGTGTATGTGTGTGTGTGTTTGAAGTTAAGCACAAAGCTGCGCAACGGGCTATCTGTGCTCTGCCCACCACGGGTATCGAAACCCGGTTTCTAGCGTTGTAAGCCCGCAGACATACCGCTGTGCCACTGGGGGGCGTGAAGTACTGAATCACGCTATAAAATTAGACGTACATTTTCTTTTTCTAACAGGCAAAAGTTCTCCAGTGACGAAGCGGTAACTTTTAAGGCTTATAACGCTAAAATCTGGTTTCGATACCAGTTGGAGGATGCAACACCTATAACCTATTGTGTAGCTTTTGCTTAACAACCAAACAAGCCAAGTTTGTTTGGAATTTCGCTATCCGTCCCTAATTTGGCAGTGGCAGACTACATGGAAGGCATCTAGTAAATCACCACCCACTGTTAACTCTTGGACTACTCTTTTAGAACGAATAGTGGGATTGAATGATACATTATAACGTCCCCACATTTAAAAGGGCGAGCGTGTTTGGTGAGACGGGGATTAGAACCCGCGACCGTCATATTGCGAGTCGAGCGCCCTAACCATCTGGCCATGTCAGGCCCTATAACGAAACGTGAAATGTATGCGGACTTACAACGCTAGAAACCGGGTTTCAATACCCGTGGTGGGCAGAGCACAGATAGTCCATTGTGTAACTTTGTGCTTAACTTCAAACAACAACAACAAAAAAAAACAGTTTTGATATATTGATAAGTTTTTCTTCATTGCCCATTCAAGCCGTCTCCAAGCATTATTAGTTTGATATATTTCTGACGATTTTGATTATTATATAAATACACAAGTACAGATTTTGGGATGAAATTTAAAGCTATTTTTGTTATTAATAAACAATAATATATTATTGTTGTAATATGGCAAATAAAGGATCACAAAATAGAAATCTCGCTTTTTTAATATCATTATAGAGATTGGCTAACGAGTTGTATTTTTGTAGACTCGCCATCTATCGGTAAAACTGAATTTAAAAACGACAACATATAAATTCGATTCATTAACAACATATAAAGTTATATTAAAAGGTGAATTTGTATGAAACAGGTACTGGTTTATTTCTTCTACGTGACTTTATTCAAATATTAACATCTAATTTATACACTAGGCCTCGTTTTTTAATAGGTTTATAAACGCGATATATCTTCGGTTGGAAACGTTTGTCTTTCACAAGTCTCTCAACGTATCATATTGTTATTTCTTTAGTCGAGGCACACGAACTATTTAGAATATTTTCATACCACAATGTGCACTTAACAAATAGATAATAAACTCAACTATTTTATTGGGTATCTTGATTTGTTCGAAATTTTGCAAATCTGAGCATCGTGTGTATATAACTTACAGTGCAAAGCATGTTACAGCCGATAATTAAAATCTACTCTCGCTTGCAGCGAGCGTGAGATTTTCCTTATGGACTTAGGTGACGCGATCATCAATATTCTTATACTCAACAAATTAAAAATTACATTTTAGACTTGATGCTATCAATTGACATTCCCAAAACGGATTAGTAAACGGCTATAACTTTAATTTTCGAAGGCGTGTCCAATGTAATCTATACTTATAAAGATCTCGATGACTTTAAATCTATAAATAAAATTTCTATCGCTAAGCCTAATTTTCTAAGACGTGTGAAGATAATCCAAGATGATCTCTCGACATATAAAATTCCAGACAATCTTCAATATATAGTCACCCGGTGGACTAGCGGTAATTTCCCGGACTTGCAATGATATAATTTTATTAGTTTATCAGAGTATATTTAGATTTTGTTGAGAAGCAGGCATTATATTACATTTTGTTGTTTTCTTCAGACGTGTGAATATTTTATTGATTTATTAGAGTATATTTAAAGAAAAGTAAAGTTTATAAGTTACTATTGTAATATTAAGTTTAGAAATATCATGATATTGGAACAGCAGTACTTATGCCATGGTTCGTGCTGAGCAAAGGTACTGTATTTCTGAAGAAGGCCTCAATATAAAAGCCAAAACGTCGTACCCTCCCCTTTTCATTCAACAGACAGCATCTATAGTCAATTAGAATTCTCGAACGTTCTTTGTATACTCTGCTTAAAGTTCCACTGAAATAACAATGTTTCTTCGGCCTTACATACGAAAGTTAAGTATTAACTCTCGTTGTCAGGGGCTGATTTAAAATACATAAGCTCAACACTTTTATTTTAGAATAAAAGAGACAGGAAGAAAAAGAAGACACGGCATGACTACTTTAGCTTTTCTCTTCTTCGGTTCTTGGCTTTTTTTATGTGTTTGCTCTCTCTAGTGAAATATAGAACTGGAAAGATTGCGTTACAAGGCTTAGAGAGTCACAAGAAACAACTTCGGATTCTGTGAAACTTGATTCAAATAAAAAGAACTAGAAAAACAAGTAACAGTTTGGAGCTCTATGAAACTGAACTTCTAAACCGAAAGAAACTTAGAGAAAAGCAGTTGAGGGTTCTGTGAAACTTGATTCAAAAGAAAAACCAGAGTTTGGGGCTTTAGAATCAAACCTCCCCAACTCGTATATAAATTATACTAAGAAACAAGAGGGAATTCTCAATAGCTTCGTCACTTGAACTTCTTTTAGGCAGGAGTAGAGTAAATTAATCATAGAGACATTTTTTCCCTATTTCATTTGCTATATTTTTATGCGCCAGCAGTGACAAGTGTGGGGCGCGCATATACCCGATTCGATTTTATTACTCATCAAGATCTCTACTAGCCTACCCTCAAATTGAAATCTTTTAGGCATGGTTAGAGTAAATTAATGTATGAGCCCTTTGGTGGGGTCAAATACACCAATCGAAAGGGTTTGACCTCCTGAGCCCAAAACTGTAACTAGATCTCAAATCGGCCAAGAGATGACGGAGCTTTGAGCTCAAAGTTTGTACTTGCAAAACTCAGAGTCATTCTATGAGCCGCTATGCCGCGGAAAAAAATATATCTTATCTGTATGATTTTATTACATTTTTTCGTGAAAAAATCTTTATTTTTTTAAAAACTGATTTATTACAATATTCAGTGTGTTAGTTTAAGCTTAAAGCTACACCATGGACTACCTGTGCTCCGTCCAGAGAGAGACTCGAACCTTGGATTTAAGCGTTTTAAGTATGTAAACTTGGTAATTCATCGAAGACATTTTCAGTATGAAACAAAAACACGCAGTGGGGAGGGCAGTTTTCCGTCTACCTAAACCTTTAACAAATTTGATGTGAAAATAAACGTCATTTAAACTTAAATGAAGACTGCTGTTAATCTTTAACTTTTGTTTAACCAATTTATATTCTTTAGCTGACACTAATTTGGCTCAGAGAAATATATATATATTACAAATTCAAAAACAGTGTTTTGATTTAATGGTTAATGTGTCGGGCTGCGGATCGAGGGGTCGGGAATTCGAGACGTCGTGCCACTGAACACGTTCCGTACATGCAGCTGCGGGCGGGTTACAAAAGTGAAAGTAAATCCCTTATTTGACTCAAAAAGTGTTTGTGGGTGTTGTTGATTCGCTGCCTTTCTTCTGGTCAGTAGTTCAAAATTAGAGATAGCTATGCTCGAATCATAGGTGACATTAACCTGGCCATTTGGTTCACGTGAGCATAAGATGCTATTCAGGTTTAAAATTCCAATTCGTATTTTGTTTTCAGAAGCATTATTCACATGCTTAATAACAGAGAGATTCAGAAAACAAAAACAACGTTGGGAGGAAGTAATTACAAGAAGGCATTTAATTAAAATCGAACTTTTAGAACTAATCTCAACGGACACAGATCGGGAAAGAAACAATTCATCAAAGAAGCACATTAACGAGGTACATTACAATAAATATTTTTGTCACTTTTTTTAAAAATATTAAACGATATAGTAATATTTCATTTTCTAAACTTCAGTGGGATAAAAACAAAGATAACGTTTTAAAACTCATAACCAATAGAGAAAGAAGTAAAATCCAGAAAAAACAAACACACACACACACACACACAAAAACAACAATATGCACCAAGTTCGTTTGGCAATGAGCCAGTTATTAAGTTGGTGTTTTTATTTGCAAAATACGAGTTTTAACTCATGATGGAATACATAAAACACATACCGTGAGGGCACAGGCAACGATAGTCATTGCTTTTAATTCCGTCTGTCGTATCCAAGCACGATCCACCATTTTTACATGGGTTTCCATGGCAACCACCCGACTCCTCGCAGTAGCTGCCACCGAAATTGGGACAACACTGACAAGTGAACGACCTCTGACGGAAAAGAAGAAACTTATGGTTATCGCAAAAAAAAAGAAGAGAAATTTCAAAAGTTATCTGTTTTTGTACCGTTGAATAAAGTTGTTAAAGAAAACAAAGAAGTTGTTATATGAAATAGAAAAAAAAAGATCTTCGTTTTAGAAATCTTCATTCATTGTTACTGTTCTTTTCATAATTTCGGAATTCCCATTTGTTGAAATTTAATTTTTCTTTTTTTTTAATAAATGTGGTGTTTCTAATAGTCTTAAGTTTTCCGAGTACCTGGCTATTCCAATAAGAAACGTGGTGTTTCTAATAGTCTTAAGTTTTCCTGGTACCTAGCTGGTCCAATAAGAAACGTGGTGTTTCTAGTAGTCTTAAGTTTTCTTAGTATCTGGCTGGTCTAATAAGAAACGTGGTGTTTCTAATAGTCTTAAATTTTCCTGGTACCAGACTGGTCCAATAAGAAACGTGGTGTATCTAACAGTCTTAAGTTTTCCTGGTACCTGGCTGGTCCAAAAAGAAACGTGGTGTTTCTAGTAGTCTTAAGTTTTCTTAGTATCTGGCTGGTCCAATAAACAATGTGGTGTTTATAATAGTCTTAAGTTTTCCTGGTACCAGACTGGTCCAATAAGCAATGTGGTGTTTCTAATAGTCTTAAGTTTTCCTGGTACCAGACTGGTCCAATAAGAAACGTGGTGTTTCTAATAGTCTTAAGCTTTCCTAGTACCAGGCTGGTTCTATGACGATGGCTTTTTAGTAAAGTTTCAAATATTAATTAAAATTAATTTTTGAAGCTTTCGATCCTAAAGATCTAAATTTTAAGAAAAAAGAAATCCATTTGTGGAACTTGGAAAACACTCTCCGAGTATTATATTAAGTTCCAAGAGATTAAACCAATTAATGCAATGTTTCGAGGCTTATTTGTTACAACGAATCTAAATCAAAATTCATTAATTCACGAGAAGCTATTAAGCAAAGCAATTCATCAGTCACCGAGTATCTCGTTAAAAGAGATTAAGTTCAAATACCACGTAGATGTTCGAAAAAAACCTACACAGAACCTAGAAATCGAAACAGTTACTGGTTGAATTCGTTATCAAATTTGTTTGCCAATTGTTAATATATATTTTTTTTTAATTTGTGAGTTAGGAAAGCTATCAAACAATAAAAACTATCTGGTCATGCAAAATTTCAATAGCTGGATTCCAACCCATTGTTAAGGTGACCGTAAGATAATGTTTGGAAAATAATAAGAATAAAAAGAAAAATTCTGATCTATAGTCGTTTTTTTTTAAACCATGATTTATTTAAAGTATTTCCAACACCACTGAGACAAAGATAATGTAATGTATAGAATATTTATTTTAAAATAACTTAATCACTTAGTTATAAAGGATTCGGTCTAAACGAAATTCTTAAGGGCTGATTTGAAATTGACATGAACTGGGCGTGTTCCGTATTTTTGTGTCATGACAACGTCGTTTCGTTCTGTTACCTACAGAAAGTGATTGACAGTTAAAACAATCAAACGTAGTTCAATTTTGTGGAACAGGCTTCGTCATGCGCATCGAAGACTTCTCTTAGACAATGTGTTTGTTTGTTTGTTTTGAATTTCGCGCAAAGCTACACGAGGGCTATCTGCGCTAGTCATCCCTAATTTAGCAGTGTAAGACTAGAGGGAAGGCAGCTAGTCATCACCACCCACCGCCAACTCTTGGGCTATTCTTTTACCAACGAATAATTGGATTGACCGTCACATTATAACGCCCCCACGGATGAAAGGGCGAGCATGTTTGGTGGGACGGGGGATTCGAACCCACGACCCTCAGATTGCGAGTCGAGCGCCCTAACTACCTGGCCATGCCGGGCCGAGTAGACAATGCGTCTACTACATGCTGTATAAAACCTACACGTAGTTACACATAGAGACTTTGTCATCCCTGTATGTATTTTAAAGTTTATAGTTTCATCGTTAGTGGTGTTGTATTTAAAATAATACGTTCAATGTAGATATTACTAAGCTATTTCTTAGAATACATTTTGTTTGTGAATTTCAAAGAAAAGTTTATTTTCGAAATTAAAAGCAATGTCTTGGAAGAGTTTTCTGAAATACATTGAAACGTATCCATGTTATTAAGACCCGGCGCCGCGAAAAACTCGGCCATGATATGGCCACCCCTTTTTTTATATTTTAATTTTCATTACTGATTTGATAACTAACTACTTTTGCGCTTTCTATTGTAGTTAACATTCATCGTAAGTACGGTGGATGAGGGAAATGGATCACACAGACGACAAACAGGGCAAATATGGCATGTTCATTTCTTTCGTTTTTTGTGTTCATCACATACTCTGCCAGTTACAGTTGTTTCCATGCTTCCTGGTATCCGATTGAAAATCTGAAAGTTGTGTTGAAATCAGCTCTACTAATGTTGCTAAACTGTTTACTAATAATTACTATTACGATTTATGCGCTTTTTTGATTACATGTTTCATAATTTTTTCGGCCAATTTTTTTTTATGATATCCTACCTTTTCGTGGCCGCGGGTCTTAATAAGATGAACGTATGATAATACATCAACCATATCACATCT